AATAATAATAATAATAATAATAATAATAATAATAATAATAATAATAATAGTGATAGCAGCAGTAGTAACAATAATAATTCACAATATGAATAATTAATAGTTAGTGACTGCTTAGCTTAGACTATGAACCAACTAGTTATTTGAGGTGTTAGAGGCACATTTTCTCTTGCATGTTTATATTTTAATTACTACTTTTAATTAAACCTAATTAATCAAAAAAGGGAGTCGTCACTGACGAGTCCCAGTTGTGATGCTGAATAGGAATGTGTGTGATTTGATGGACCGAAACATTCCTGTTCTTTTGATGAATTTTTATATTTTATGCATTTTTTTACTACATTTTTTTTACACTTTTACTACATTTTTTTACTATAATGAAATGAATAAAGTATCTCAAACTATTACTGCTAAAATACAAAAATTTATCGTCTGCCCCCTGAAAAAGAGCAAGGAAGCCGTGCTTTTCACATAAAGTATATAATAAACAGCTCACTAATTTCTAGGAAGTAGAACATAATGTAAAAGGAAAGGATTGACAGCAAAGAAGTGAAACTGGCAGCTAATTCCCTTTGCCTTGCCCAGACGCTCTTCGATTTCATGTGATACGCAAATATCTCATCTCCTGATTCCAGTTTCCCCCTCCGTGATATGTAATGATGTGATTAGAAATGAATGGGTATTGTTTTGTGGTGCCAGAGCATTGTGTGGCGGTAGCTTGGAGCTGCTTCCGCGTCCCCTGTTTCGTTTCTCTTTGTGCTTTTATTTTTTTGAAAAATAAAGTACTGTTTGTAGGTTTGGGTGAATGTTCTCCGCGCCTTCTCTGGAGCATCTTCTCTAGCCTCAGGCCACCATCTGTCTTGCGCACGTTACAACATGCCGAACCAAATTTTTTTTCAATATTAATTAATTAATGGGGTGAAAAAATTACTTGAGCTGCAGCAATTTCATCAGCAAATACAACTGTACGATGAGGTCTGCGGTTTTCAATCATCTGTAAACGACGTGCTAGCTGTTCATCGCTCTCAGTAGCTTGTACTGTCTGATTCTGCTGCTCAGCAGCATCGTGCTCCAGCTGCAGCCGTCGTGCCAGTTCTTCATCCTGACGAGCCTGGAATTCTTTTCGCAGTTCATCCTCCCGTTCAAATTCATCTTGTAACCGACGTGCTATTGCCTCATCATTTTCCGTCCTGCAAAAACAATAACTGGCCAACGCACGGGCTGCCCGTGCGAAGATGCATTTTTTGCATAGCTCCCCGCAGATTTTTGTCGCTCACGGCACTGGTTTTTCTGGCAGATGCTTCTAGCTAAAAGAATTTCAGACTGGCCGCCAGGGCTGTCAGCGTACGTAGGTATCACGCTTATCCGCGGGCAGGGTTTGAACTCTTTAATACCTACTTGGACGGGGAACATTGCCCTAGGATTTCACCGTTCTAGCTTCTCAGGTCCCAGAGTTATGAGCTTACCGAAAAAAACTTTGTACGACCCGTACGCAGGTACCACGCTTACCCGGGGGATGGATATGAGTGCATTAATACCTAGTTAGAGGGGGAACATTACCCTAAGATTTCAGTGTTCTAGCTTCTCAGATCCCCGAAATATGAACTTACGCGAAAAAAATTCTGGCGGGTCCTCACGCGGGTACCACGCGGGTGATGGCGCAATTTTGGGGACTGGGGCCCATACGTGCATGTAGATTAAGTTCCCAAAGTTTCAGCCCTGTAGCTTTTGAAGGCCCTGAGATGAAAAACCGTGACAGACGCACACACGGACACACAGACACACACACAGACAACCCCTCGACAATATGCGTTTTCTGCATTGCACAGCTGCAAAAAACGCATAAAAAGGGCATTGATTACTAACTGCTGAAGGGGAACTAAAGTAAGAAGGTAGAGAGAAAGTCCAGGAGTGATACCAAAGCCTGCAACCACGTCCGAAAAACATTTAGGAGGAAGTGTGTAAAGGTCTCTGCAATTACAAAGAAAAGAGAAAATTAAAGACCAAAGAAATATCCCAAATATAGTACGTAACGAGGACTGAGGTTTTTCTTTAATTACTCTGACAGTGGAGACGAACAGTCCCTCTACGATTCGTTTTGAAAGTAAACTGGTACCGGCATACGTCACGAAGCCAAATCAGTCATCAGCAGCTTGCTTCTAAACAACTTCTAAATGAGGGGGCCATCGACAGCCTTACTAATGGATGACTGATTTTGATATTTCACTACTTCCACTGTTATAAAGGGTGACGACGGATGAGATTTTGATTTTGACTCAGAAAGAGGAAAGGAAATAGTAAAGCGGAGCAGAACAATAAGATATTTCGAGCAAGAAAGCGCCATTTTGACCAGTGAAGACCTACATTACTCAGACAATCCTGTTCCTCTTTCAGAAGCTAAATCTGCTGAAGGAGTTTCAAAAACCAACAGCTGAGTGTTGAGCTGCATTCTGAGTTGGGCAGCTAGCTGGTCCTCAATTTGTTGCTCGCTTCGGGAATGTTGACCATCGTTGCGCACCTGCCGCCGCTGACCACGATTCGATTCATAATGCCGATTGTACTCCTCTTCCTGCAGACGTACCGCCATATTGTAATCTTCGTAGCACCGCAATCGAGAAACTACTAAACATTTCCTTTTCAGTTCTTCAACGAATCACACATCATAAGCCTGGTAACTAAGAGTTGGAGTAGCCTCCATCCTGATAATCGGGAATGTAATGCACCCCAGTTCTGGAGAATTTTGAAACTACGATCCTTGACACAACCAAAACACCACTCGCACTGTACCCGTTTTAGGGAAAAAGACGTTTGTTTCGCTAAGAAAGATCAAACAAGACGAGATTTAAACCCAGGCTGGAACGCACCAGGCGAGCCGGTGCGATCATGCGTTTTTGCATCAAACTTT